TTATTCTATGCATGCGCAGCTTGCTTTTTTTATTTTAAAATAATTATTTATTAATTCTTTTTTCTTTTTGTTTTTATATTCCAATTATTTTTGTGCACATGCTTTTTGTATTTTAAAATAATTATTTATTAATTCTTTTTTCTTTTTGTTTTTATATATTAATTATTTTTTATCTATATCACACTTCTCAATATGTATCAATATTTTTCATTTCCTATCCTCATGCTTTGCCTGTAAATACACCTTAGTTTGCCACTTCTCTTGCATCAAAAAATTTGTCACTTTTCTTACACCAGAAAATTTAGCAACTGTTCATTTGCCTAAAAAAAATAGATCCGAATAATAGGCAAAATTATCAAAATTGCTCAAGTTCTAATCCTAGCAATCCAGATGAAATTCCATTCTTCCAAAATTCACAAACTCCGCCGAGTTTACCATTTTCACAAACTCCTTATCCTGCACAATTTTTCCCACAATTCTCGTCAAATTTTCCTTTTATTCAACAACAATCCCAAAATTATCGAAACTCCACCAATATTCAATATTCACAATATCCTCCGCAAGTTTTATTTCAAAACCCGCCGTAGTCTAAATTTGGTGCAATCTTCTCCGCAACAATCGAGTCAATCTTCCGGATCCCAAATGAGGAAAGAACTTGATACTCAAACTTACGTTCCGGAAACACAATTTCCGGATCGTGAAGCAACCATTAATGTTGAAATGCCAAAAAAACACACGTGTTGCTGCTGATGACCGAAAAAAACGTCCACATTGGACAAAGGAAGAGGATATGCAATTGAAAAAAGCTTATGTGACAATAAGTGACGATCCAATTACCGGTAATGATCAGAAGGCCGAAGCGTTTTGGGTACATGTTGCAAATTATTATAACGAAAATACACCTTCTGATTATATTCATAGGAATGCTAATATAATAAGATCTCAGTGACATAATACGATTCAAAAAAAGGTGTATTAGAGTGTTTATCGAAGTGGTTGTAGTGATGAGGATATATTAAGTGGGCTTACGAAAAATATCGTATTGAGAATGATGGTGTAGCCTTCAATCTTGAGCATGTGTGGAGAATCCTTAAAGATCGTCCTATGTACACTCCACAGTCTTCTAATGATATTTTGTTGAGAGAAAAAAGACGAGAATTGATGAATCTGGTGCCAGCAATACTTCATCAAAGGGGGATGCAAGCATTGATATAGATGAACTTCATGAAGTAGCTTGCCCCATCGGACAAAAGGCAGCTAAACGAAAGGCCAAGGACAAAGGCAAACCTAACCTTGATGAGATGACCACTGAATACAACAACATGGTTAAGCATCTTGCTGAGTTAACTAGCTTGAAAAAAGCTAAAGTTGAAGTTAAAAAAGCTACTCCTGAGGAGAAGAAATAGAGAAATCGTCGGAAAGACTATGATAATGAAGGAAACAAGCCACATAACCCAAGAGCAATGCATTTCTCATGAAAAAAATGTGTTAAGTAATTTGAGAGAAATGAAACTTGTATACTTTGTATTTTATCCATGTATTTCTGTATGTTGTGATTTGCGATATTGAACTTTTAGCTTGTATTTCATTTAAATTGTTCTCGTTCTTGTTAAATTGTTAGTCAGTCTTTCTTTAAATTTTTCTTGTTCGAAATTAAATTTGTTGTATGTCTTTCCACTTAAATTGTTCTTTGTATTTGAGAGATGTATTGTCTTTTAAACAATATGACTAATTAACTTGCTAGTCAAAATAAATATCAGAAGATAAGATATGGCTCTGAAAAGTTAATCGATTTGCTGGCACAAATAAGCATATCAGAAGATAAGGCATGGGCTGTGACACATTTATCAATTTCATAACTCACTTAATGTGTCAGAAAATAAAGTATGGGTCATGCAATAGTTGTCTATAATAATATATTTGCTGGTCAAAATCAATATGTCAGAAGATAAGATATGACTATCAAAATTAAATTAAATCGATTTGCTGGCACAAATAAACATGTCAGAAGATAAGGTATGGATTGTGACACGCTTATCAGTTTGATAACTCGATTAATGATCAATATACATATACGTTGATGTCTATATATTCAAAGCAAACTCACATATATTTTCTCCTTCTGCAAATCACAGTAGCACACTTTAAATTCACTTAGAATCCTCCAAAAATGTCTCAAAATTCATATAGATCCGAGTCTAATTCATCATCATCCACCGACAGTGAAGATGGTGATGACACTAAAGATTTAGAAGTTGAAATGATTTCATCAATCGTTCAACGAAGCCACGAGTTACTCCAAGCATATCAACATGAAATTGAATTTCGTAGAAGAAGAAGGTTCATCTAGAGAAATCGTGAAGACGGGCATGACAGACTTGTAAGGGATTATTTCTCTGACCGTCCGGTCTACCCGGATCATATATTTTGTAGACGTTTCTGTATGAAAAGAGAATTATTTCTTCGAATTGTGAATGCACTTCAGACATAATCATCATTTTTCTAGCAAAACATTGATGCAGTAGGAAGACAAAGTTTGTCACCACTTCAAAAATGCACAGCAGCTATTCATCAGTTAGCTTATGGAGTCCCAAGTGACCACCTTGATGAGTATTTACGTATGGGTGAGTCAACCGCTATCAAATGTCTTTTTCAATTTTGTGAAAGTGTGGTTCAAATTTTTGGTGATGTGTATTTGAGAAGACCGAACAATAGCGATGTTCAAAGACTCCTCCAAAGGCATGAAGAAAATCATAGTTTTCCGAGTATACTTAGAAGCCTTGATTGTATGAATTGGGAATGGAAAAATTGCCCAATTGCTTGGAAAGGCCGATTCACAAGAGGGCATGGGTCTCCCACGATTGTCCTTGAAGAGGTTGCTTCACACAATTTGTAGATATGACATGCCTTTTTTGGTGTTGCAGGATCACGTAACGATATTAATGTATTATATGAATCTCTTCTATTTAATAATGTATTGCGAGAAAATGCACCAAACGTTCATTTTACTGTCAATGGCACACAATATGCAAATGAGTATTATCTTACAGATGGAATATATCCAGAATGGGCTACGTTCGTTAAGTCTATTCCTTGCCCGTCAGATCCTAAAAGAAAGTTATTTAAAGAAAAACAAGAAGCTGCTCGAAAGGATGTGGAAAGAGCATTTGGGTGCTTCAGTCTCGATGGGCAATTGTAAGAGGTCCAGCTCGGTTTTGGTATAGAAGAAAACTGAAATTTGTTATGTTGACATTCATTATTCTACACAATATGATTGTTGAAGATGAAGGAGATGTAGTAACACATTGGCACAATGACGAGGATGAAGAGCCTGCACTACATGTCCAGGGTTCAAATCGAGAATTTCAAAATTATATTAGTAGAAGTTCAGAGATACGAGATAACACAATGCATCATCAACTTCATGCCGATTTAGTTGAGCATATTTGGACTCATTTTGCCAACAACTAAAAAAATATTTTTTATAATTGTACTATTTTTTCTTGTGTAATCTTAATTTAAGTTATTTTGGTGTTGTAGTGTTCTTTCATTTTTATGCATTTAAAATGTATTGTTATAATTTAAAAATATTAAAAATTATTTTTATTAAGAATAGAATATAAAAAATTATATTGAATGAGTGGATAATGGGTCTCACATATGTATTTAACTGAATGTGTAGGAATGTAGGTGTGAGTTTAAATGGAGAGAGATTTAGTGGAAATATGATTTGGATAAGAGAGAGTGTTACTTTTTGATTGAATGAATGACATTGTGTTAAAGGGTTGTGGATGCCCTTATACGGGAGGGAAGGGATACGATGCTTTTCTTTCTTTTGCTTTTCTTTCTATTCCTCTTTCCTTTTCCCAATGACATAGAAGCATCCTTGGCCCTGATCATTGGCCGACCCACCATAAGGACAACTTTTGCAAGAGGTTTGTCCTCAACTTTGCAAACTTACAGCCACAAATTTTACTAACAGTTGCAATTAATGTGTTTCCAAAATGATATTATCTTCTTCGCTTACCATTCCACTTTCATTCTCTTCAATTTGTCCAAAATCCTTACAAAAGTGATGAAGGTACTGCAGGTGTCAAATTGCCAGAATTTACTCAGCCACATTCAGTGCGGCACATACACCATTACAAACTAGAAGTATCTTGCCCCCAAAATCAATAAGGCTCCGTTTGGATTAAAGGATTTACTGAGGGATTTGAAATCCATAGATTTCAAATTTACAAGTTCAAATCCTCATGCATGTTGGGATGGTAATGGAAGTTGGAGGATTTCAAATTCATGCTAGTTGTTTTTTAGTCTTTATTCTGAAGGATTTTAAATGATTCCTCAAACTTAGTCATTTGAAATCCATTATTGACGACCACGCCGTCCGCAATCATATAGGTTCATCACCACCGCGAGTCAACACCATCGGTGCGAGCTAGATAATTGATTTAGAATATTTTCAACACATCCATTCAAGAAGTGCGCAAGTAAAAAAAATTATATTTCAAAAATTTTGAAATCAAGGGATTTTAAATCCCTCAAAACAAACGGAGCCTAAGTCAAATTGACACACATGGGCACACATAACACCTCACTCTTAGTCCCAATTTCACAAACAAGCACCAATGGCCAAAGTGATTTAAGCAGTGGTTGATGGTGAAATTCATTAGATCTGTTTCAACCTAGCGGCACGACTGCAGCTTGCGCTAGATTATCGTCGAGAAGCCTCGATGAATTAGCGACGGCTATAGGTCTCTTCTCAGACCTAGCAGACGGTGGCCTTATGTGTGAGCGAAAGTGCGGCACAGGACGGTGGGTGAGTGAACTTCGACAAAATGTTATTCTCGAATTTTTCTTCGCCATTCTTAAAAGTATTATGTAGCTTTGCAAAAGGAATGATTTTATTTTTGGGTAATTAAGATCTCCATGTTATCTCATAAAATCTTTGCAAATCTATTACATGAAACAGCCCATTAAATTAGCAATTTGGCAAATTCCATTAATAATGCACTTTAGGTTTGAATTTTAATTAGAAAACGTTAGTGAACAAATAAAAAATTGAATATGTATAAGTGAAATAAAATTGAGTTTACATCGTCTGCCATATAAATTTCTCAATTCCATCCTTGCGTCAATCATTGTTGGTGGTACAATTGACCCATGTGAATAATCTAAAAATCTATCACGAGAGATTCTAGAGGATAGGAATTTTTAGATGTGTGGCTTGAATTTTGTTAACCAAGTGGTTGAAAAGAAATATATCAATGGAGCTTTTGTGGTGGCACTTACGAGTTCGGACACTGTTGTTTTTTTCTGGGCCAAAATTATTTATAATTTGGGACCAGTCAAATTAGTTAGTTCGATGGATGGATACTTTTGATTTTTTCCACCATCTTCATCGCACACAAAAATAATTATAGATTAATAAAAGAAAATTGATTAGTATAAAAATAGTTTTAAATATTAATATTTTGTTTTTATTTTATGCCATATACTAATATAATATATAATTTATATATTTATTTCCTATGTTACAAAATAGTTGTCATTTTAGAGTTTTTATTTATAATTAAGGATATGAAAATTTAACATACTAAAACATTGTCGATAAATAATACTCACAGCTTCCCTTACTCATACCTTATTACAACTAGTGAGAATCCCGTTGTAGTGTCCAATTTGAATTATATGAATTATCATATTTTATTTATTTATACGCATTATGTTACCGTCTGTATTGCTCGATATATTTAGTTTAGACTTATTATTCTTAATTAGATGTCCATGTTTAATTGATTTAATATGTCGTGATAATTTTATTATTATTCGTCGTCAATCGAATCGATCGAGAATTCTTGTTATCGTGTTGTCTTCGTCCGAGCCGCTTTCCGAGCAAGTCTTAAGTTTGATACTCGACCCATTCTCGGATATTTATTTTTCGGTTCATTCGGTTAAATTAATTCCGGCCCATTTTCCCAATTAAATCAGCCTTAATTGATTTTATATCTAAACTAAGAAGTTGACCAATTTTGTGTTGAATTGTTCCAGCCCACTGGACTAATCAGGTTTGGCCCATTTGATAAAATCTTGTCTTGGCCCAACTCATTAAGCAGGGGAGATTTCTTTTGTTCGAAAGCCGTGTGCAAGACCAGTTCTCTCCTTCTCCTCATCGCCAAATTTCGTTGCTTGTGCTCGCGTTCTAAATTGTTGGATTATATGCGTAGTCGTTGAACCGTTTCTCGTCGTTTGCATTGGATTTTTTATTGGATTCTTGTGTTCGTTTGTTGAGGATATTGGAACTCTCATGTGTATAAAATCGAGCCTGTTTTGATGCTGTATCGTCGTAAATTTTGGAGTCTCGTTTTATTGGTTGATGTTCGTTTTTCTTCCCGAGCCGTTACTTGGTCGAGTTGTTTTTCGAGCCCAAAAGCCTGTTTTTAATCACTTTCGAAACTCCAAAAATCAATTATTTTATTTTTATTTTTTAACACGGTTGCCGATGGAGTTGAAATCATCATCGAAGAATCGTTTATCCTTTTTCTAGTCATATAATATATGAAATAATGAAATATGCAGAAAGTATTGTTTTCCTTTTATAAATGGAGAACTTTCAAACTTCAATGTAATGCCCCTGTTATTATTGAAGAAAATGATTTTCAGTCCCGATGCGGTATGTGAGAATTCTTTATATCACTACTTTAAACGATAATATCCGTACATGGGTATGACAACTTGTCGATTAATCAAAATAAAATGTTCGATGCAAGGATACTTTCAATTGTATATAATTTATACATCTTTTCAATAAATTTATATGAACAAAATGATAGTTATGACAAACTTTATTCATGCATGATACAGAATATTTAATTTAAAGAGCCTATCTTAATATTGTTTCCGCATACATAATATTCATACATCACACGAGATATGCAATAGTCATTATATAATACGATCATATGAAATCGGTGTAAAATCCCCAAAAAGAGTAAACCAAATTATTTTTTGCAATACGAGATGCGAAAACCACGAACAACAATAAACCCACTTTTTTTCTCACACAACGTAGATTTTCGGGCAGTCCAAGTTGCTTTTCCCTTCAAGTTGATTGCTTAGCTTGGTTTCAATGTACTCGATAAACTTCATCGGGCGATATAAAGCACGGCCATCACGCTCGACAAGTGGGCCCGCAGGGCCCACAATAGCTTCCGGAGCTGCCCCATTCACAATGACTACCGATATCCTCGTCGCTTGATTGTTCACCACGGCCCTGTGATTCACACTCTTGTACCTCCCATTGCTAAAAATCTAAAAAAAAATAAAAATAGGGAGGACAATTAGATTAAAAACCAAGAATAACTTCTTCTTTTTTGTGAAAACTAGTTTTTAACCCGTGCATTTGCACGGAAAACAATATAATAGAACAAAAATAATAAAAATATATAAACAATAGTAAAAAGCATAATATAATCATTGGAAAAATGTTCTAAGAAATAATAACTAAATATTGTTAAACAATTTTTTATATACAACGTTTGTGGTTTTTCTATCAACAATTTTCATCACTACAAATCATATCTTAAAATTAAGACATATAATGGTTTTAATTGTTTAAATAATTATTGTATTTTGTATTATAGATCATATAGGAAATTTAAAAAAAAAAATACTAAAAAAATACCAGCAAAATATTACAAAATAAATAATTGTATTTGGTTGATAAATAATGATATATGCCAAATATTTAAGATATTTGAACAAAATGACAATTTTTGGGCCATAAAGAAATATATTGAGTGAATGATAAAAAAAGCCCAAATTAGAAGTCCACTTAATTTTTTAGGGTAGCCAAAATCAAATATAAAACAGGTCAGTGATAACATGACTATAAATAGAGATAAACTCCTTGAGAGTGATGTAAGCCGTTTTTTTTGTTTGATGTCGACGTTTTTCTCGTTATTAACTCTGTCTGAAACCCTAATCCTTAACCCGATATTACGACAAACTCGGCGAGATTCAATACAAAACAACTGTTTTACCGGAGATTTTCTCCCGGTAAAGGCTTAAAAAAAAAAAAGACATCCGAGAAATGTTGTTTTTGTGACCAACAGTAGTGATCGAAAAATAAAATATTCGTCCCGATTTCTTAATCTGTGTTGCTAAATCTTAATAGGTCGGTCAAAATCGGGCGATAATATTACAAATCTATGATGAGCTGAAATATTTTTTGTTAAACGTAGTTTTTATTTTTTATTATTTTCAATGATCTGTGTCGTTTTCCGAAATTCTTTGTGAATAAGCTTCAAGATATATTATATTTTATACATAATTCGAAATTATTTAGATGTTTTTTTTCAAAATCGTTTTTCGAAGAGAACATGACATTGGTCGAACTTTTTCAAACTTTTATGTATTTTGTTCAGGGTTTGAAAAAATATATAAGTTTCTAACAGATATGTTCAGCTCTACTAACAAATATATATGTAAGTTTATAACATATCTGTTCATATCTTTTTATAACATATATATGTAACTTTTATGTATTTTGTTCAGATTTTGAAAACTAAATAGTTCAATTTTTTGTTGTCTTTCTCATCATATCAGTAAGTGAAGCTCGTCAAACATTGTTGGTGGTACAATTGACCCATGTGAATAATCTAAAAATCTCTCACGAGAGATTCTAGAGGATAGGAATTTTTGGATGTGTGGCTTGAATTTTGTTAACCAAGTGGTTGAAAAGAAATATATCAATGGAGCTTTTGTGGTGGCACTTACGAGTTCGGACACTGTTGTTTTTTCTGGGCCAAAATTAATTATAATTTGGGACCAGTCAAATTAGTTAGGTCGATGGATGGATACTTTTGATTTTTTCCACCATCTTCATCGCACACAAAAATAATTATAGATTAATGAAAGAAAATTGATTAGTATAAAAATAATTTTAAATATTAATATTTTGTTTTTTATTTTATGCCATATACTAATATAATATATAATTTATATATTTATTTCCTATGTTACAAAATAGTTGTCATTTTAGAGTTTTTATTTATAATTAAGGATATGAAAATTTAACATACTAAAACATTATCAATAAATAATACTCACAGCTTCCCTTACTCATACCTTATTACAACTAGTGAGAATCCCGTTGTAGAATTTGAATTATATGAATTATCATATTTTATTTATTTATACGCATTATGTTACCGTCTGTATTGCTCGATATATTTCATTTAGACTTATTATTCTTAATTAGATGTCCACGTTTAATTGATTTAATATGTCGTGATAATTCTATTATTATTCGTCGTCAATCGAATCGATCGAGAATTCTTGTTATCGTGTCGTCTTCGTCCGAGCCGCTTTCCGAGCAAGTCTTAAGTTTGATACTCGACCCATTTTCGGATATTTATTTTTCGGTTCATTCGGTTAAATTAATTCCGGCCCATTTTCCCAATTAAATCAGCCTTAATTGATTTTATATCTAAACTAAGAAGTTGACCAATTTTGTGTTGAATTGTTCCAGCCCACTGGACTAATCAGGTTTGGCCCATTTGATAAAATCTTGTCTTGGCCCAACTCATTAAGCAGGGGAGATTTCTTTTGTTCGAAAGCCGTGTGCAAGACCAGTTCTCTCCTTCTCCTCATCGCCAAATTTCGTTGCTTGTGCTTGCGTTCTAAATCGTTGGATTATATGCGTAGTCGTTGAATCGTTTCTCGTCGTTTGCATTGGATTATTTATTGGATTCTTGTGTTCGTTTGTTGAGGATATTGGAACTCTCATGTGTATAAAATCGAGCCTGTTTTGATGCTGTATCGTCGTAAATTTTGGAGTCTCGTTTTATTGGTTGATGTTCGTTTTTCTTCCCGAGCCGTTACTTGGTCGAGTTGTTTTTCGAGCCCAAAAGCCTGTTTTTAATCACTTTCGAAACTCCAAAAATCAATTATTTTATTTTTATTTTTTAACACGGTTGCCGATGGAGTTGAAATCATCATCGAAAAATCGTTTATCCTTTTTCTAGTCATATAATATATGAAATAATGAAATATGCAGAAAGTATTGTTTTCCTTTTATAAATGGAGACCTTTCAAACTTCAATGTAATGCCCCTGTTATTATTGAAAAAAATGATTTTCAGTCACAATGCGGTATGTGAGAATTCTTTATGTCACTACTTTGAACGATAATATCCGTACATGGGTATAACAACTTGTCGATTAATCAAAATAAAATGTTCGGTGCAAGGATACTTTCAATAGTATATAATTTATACATCTTTTCAATAAATTTATATGAATAAAATGATAGTTATGACAAACTTTATTCGTGCATGATACAGAATATTTAATTTAAAGGGCCAATCTTAATATTGTTTCCGCATACATAATATTCATACATCACACGAGATATGCAGTAGTCATTATATAATACGATCATATGAATTCGGTGTAAAATCCCCAAAAATAGTAAACCAAATTATTTTTTGCAATACGAGATGCGAAAACCACGAATAACAATAAACCCACTTTTTTTCTCACACAACGTCGATTTTCAGGCAGTCCAAGTTGCTTTTCCCTTCAAGTTGATTGCTTAGCTTGGTTTCGATGTACTTGATAAACTTCATCGGGCGATATAAAGCACGGCCATCACGCTCGACAAGTGGGCCCGCAGGGCCCACAATAGCTTTCGGAGCTGTCCCATTCACAATGACTACCGATATCCTCGTCGCTTGATTGTTCACCACGGCCCTGTGATTCACACTCTTGTACCTCCCATTGCTAAAAATCTAAAAAAAAATAAAAATAGGGAGGACAATTAGATTAAAAACCAAGAATAACTTCTTCTTTTTTATGAAAATAATGTTTTTTTTATTTATTATTTTTTACTTCAAGATGATCGGCCGTGTTGACCAAGATGGAGCCGTGAGGCGAGTTTGTGTTGAACCACTCCCCATTGTGCTGAATCTGAAGGCCCGTAACTCCGTTGTGTATGAGGAAAGTCAAAAGCCCGTGATCCGTGTGTGGCGGGAGCCCGATGGCCTGATCGGGCTCGGGGCACGGCGGGTAATAATTTGCCGCGTAAAGTTGAAAACACGAGTCCAATTGCAAAGTCCGGTCTATGTAGCCCTGTTCCAGTTCCAGGTTTGCCCCTATCCCCTGAAGCAGCTTTCTTGCCACGTGGCGGGTTTTTTCGGAATACTCTAACAAAATCTCCCTACAAATTAATGTAGCGGCAATTTGATCAATTATTGTTAAATAACCTCAAGTAAATTTCTTGTTAGCCCTTGAATTAGCCCAACAAGACAACAAGAAAGCCCAAAACAATTTAAAATACATTGCTGGGCTTGTTAGAATCGGTACAACTCTCACTTTTCATCTCACAAATAGACGACGGGCTCTAAATTGATTGCCCCAGTTAATCTGTAATCTCCAAGTTTCAAATCTCTCGACTCTCACCCTTGTTCTTTCAAGCCTCTGCGAGGTGAACGGGACATCTTTCATCCAGCCGACGATTGCGAGATTGGTGTGCGGGTGCGGCAATTGCGAAGAACGGAGGAAGTGACACCTTCGGCCTTCGAGGATCGAGCAGTCGCTGGCGGCAGCCAACAAGTGAGCGGGTCCGAGAGTGACTCCGAGCCTTTTATCTTTGGTTTATTGAGAGTATGAATTTAAATTGGTGTCAGACGTGAATTTTGTGAATTGCCATTTGGTGACTGGTTTTTCAATTTTTTCTATCTATATCTTTGTTCTATAATTTGTCATAGACTCATAGGTTGATTTAATTTTTGTTTGTCTCTTTGTATTGCCAATGTGTATTGAAAGTTGAAAAATATTTTTCTCCCAATTTGTGGTTTGTGGGCCTATGGTTGTGGCTATATTTGTTTTCTCACAAGTTTTAAAAATTTATGTTGAAGTTGAGATGGGAACATGTTTTTAGTTTAATTATATGTGTTAATGTTTGTTGATCATGTACTCAATGCTTTCAAAGGTGTGGATGCTTGTTTGGCCTTTATAATAAGATTGTGTACAAAAACCCACAAATCATTCTTGATTATCTTTCCTATTTATTTTTTTTGTATTTTTTAGATTGCTTATATCATCTAAATGTTTGATTAATTTACTATTTTTTGTTAACTTGATAGGTTTGAATTATAATGGAGGGTCAAAGTACAAAGAAAAGGAAAACTATTTCTTTATTTGATCTAATTTATTTAATTTATTTTGACAGGTTAATTCGTCTTGTTTTCACTCTCCTGTGCCTACGGCAACTACAGAGTGAGCGTTTTCGACTATGAAACTTGTTAAGACAGTTCTTCGTAATAAGATGGAAAAGATTTTTTGGTGGGTTTAGTTGTTATTTACATTGAAAAGGAGTTGGTCGAAAAGATTAGTAATAATACTATAATTGCCGAATTTGAATCTAAAAAGAAGCGGAGATCGCGGTTTCATTAGCCCCAGGCATTTTGAAATCCTAGCTCCGCCCCTACTCCCGTCAGAGATGAATTGTGTGGTTTGACGTGGTGATGACGGGGCCCGTGCCGGACCTGATGGGCTTTCGGCCTCGTACACTTTCTTTTCGTGGTCCGGCAGCTCGAAAAACTCCAAACTCGCCTAGATTACGGCCTTTTATAACTCTGTCTGGTATCCCATGATTTATCAACTGAAACAAAAATAAAAACTAGAAATTATCAAATCTTGGGTTTTACTATAAAGATAAATAGAACAAAATAAAAATAATTTTAAAATAGCAATTTTGCCAACCAAAGGAAAGAAAGAGAGGAGGACAAAAAGTTACTTATATGTGACAAATACGTGAACCCCAATTCGTTTTCCAATAACCCTTGCTTTTGATATTCACAAGAGCCGGTCTCCATTTGGCCATGCAATAGAATTCAGAGACCCCGAGGAGGGTTAATAAATTTAATCGCATTCTAAGTGAATCCCATTTCTCGGTCCTAATGTTGTGAAATTTGATTATACGTCATCCGAGGGGAAGCCTATGCGCTCTCATAAGATTTCCTCTAACCGTCTAATTAGAAATTTGTCTTGATAATTTCTTATAATTAAATTTTAGCAATGTCACCCGAGGGGGAGCCCATTACCGCAGTTTAATTGATTTACCGACAAATTAGAAATGGAGACCTTAGGAATTTTACAATTAACTTTAATTTAAAATCCCTTCTCAAACTTAGTATAATTTAATGAGGATTTTTAACTATTTATACAATTCTAAATTAATCTATGTTAATGCAATAATTAATTAACATGCATATTAATTCATGCAATTCTAAATTAATCTATGTCAATGCAATAATTAATTAACATGTACAATAAATTATACAATTCTAAATTAATCCATGACAGTGCAATAATTAATTACATGCATAATTTATTGACACAATTTTAAATTAATCCTATGCATTACATAATTAATTAACATGAATAATTAATCTTGCAATACTAAATTAATCCCATGCAAGAACATAATTAATTAACATGCATAAATAATAATTTAATGGCATAATAAATTTGATTAATTAAATGAATAAATCCACTATTATGGCCATTAAATATTGAGTCTCCTTAAACAAGGAAACTGTGACAGTTCTTTCCTTGTTTAACTGGAACTCCTTTGAGCAGTAAAATCCTGTTGATCTTGTACTACTTGATCATCAAGGCAAAAACGAACTACCAGCTGCCGCCACCAGTCCGCCGCCGCCGGCCACCGGTCGCCGCCTGCGATTCGTCGGAAAAAGCCATTTTTTTTTTTTATTCTTCGAGGCTCGTTGATCTTCTTGTGATCTCCCGGTCATCAACACACGATCACAACACGAAAAATATAATTTACAAAATTACATAATTCGATCCTAGATCCAACGAATGGATGTACATGTTTTGTAAACAAATAATTAAGTTTATCCGGTCAACCCCCGGGCGAATAATTACTACAAACATTCATCCATAAATTCTTCGACATGTCCGAGACTTTAAAAACAAATTTAAAACCATACATCACATTCAACAACATTTATCAAACACATAATCGGCCATAATAGTGGATTAACTATTTTCCTGCAAAACCGAGTTATGCAAATATAATCCAATATTGGCTGCGTTTGAACACATCTTGTCAAATAAAGCCGTAAAAATTCGAACTTTGTACAAAACGAATTAACCAAGTGCTCTGATACCACTTGTTGGGATCTGTGAGGATCTCGTTATGTACAAGTCACGAATTCAATAGCAAACGTAAACCTATGCGCAGCAGATCTAAAGGTTTGACGTAGAGAACTTACAGCTTAAAGTTTATGTAGATCTGGTTGACCACGAACGGTTAACCGCAATTGATTGACCGCAAATCACGTCTTGGGTTGCACGAACAAGATCAGATCAAAATCGGATCAAACGGATGCAAACAGATCAAAACGAAATTTTACAGCCTGGGAGCTTGCGGCGGCGCGTAAGGGCGCGTGAGACATCGGATTCCGGAGATCTCAACAGCGCTGGAAACCTCTCGTCGAGAAGGTTGTCTGGGTATGCTGTACGTCCCAATCGGGCTTCCGGTTAGTTCTGTAGGTCAAAATATATTTCGTCTTGGTTTACCTACAGATCTTCTACTGTATTACTCAATACACCCTTCTTCAACTTGTACCAGTGGAGCAACAAGAAGAAGATAAAGCTCCAATGAGATCTAGAGAGAGAGAGAGAGAGAGAGAGAGAGAGGCGTGGGGGGTTATTCACGTGTGATTAGGAATTCCCTTCCCTTTTCATGAGCTTAATGATGTATATATAGAGCTACATTAGAGACCCTTAGGAGATTAGGAAAAGGGCTCCTTAATTAATTAGACTAACTGTGGGCCAAGCTCACTCCTCTAATTAATTAAATAATATTAATGGGCCACCAACATTATATTATAGCACTTTATTTTCCTAGCCCAAATTACATTTGAGACTCCAATAATAATTACTCGATTTACCTCCCCACGTTTAAGATATAATGTCCATTAATTAATTCGATACTGACAATCAAGAATTAATTAATTTATTATTATTTCACCGAAGCTAGCGCTCGTTCATCACATTCTTATTATGCTGGAACTTAATCCACCTGCAGGGTTTAGCATAACAATCCTTCATGAACTCACTCCGGGGACATCATCAAACTAACGCACATGGTGACCGTAAATATCCTAACAGCACATCCTATATATAATAATATTACCCAAAACAGTAGGAATATTATACCAGTGAACTGAACCTCACCCATGTGAATCAAAGTAATATATATTATATATATCTGCCTGTTTAATATCTTACGGGTTAAGAGAACGCAGTAATTAACCGAGGCTTAGTTCATTTACGACGATCAGTATAAAATGAACTTCTCCTCTCTGGGATCCTGTTCAATACATAAATGTACTAGTGCAACTAATCAGTCAAGACAAACTGTACAGTTGACACTACAACAGTTTGGGTGTTCATGTCCATCTAAATTGTGAACAACTACTCTTGTTTGCAAGTGACTGATAGAGTGATCTTCGGTTCGCCCGATGACGACCCACCCTATCTAAGTGCAGAACAACAGAACGTAGAACTTGTTTAATCTAACATGATTCTCATTAATAAAGGGTAAATGTGTAATAATATGCAAATCCAAGCTTTCAGTATATAACACTAACAGTTGCTGCATGAACTGAGACAAAGTATGAACCGCATAAGACAAGTCAGGACGAGTGACTGTCAAATAGATCAATCGCCCAACGAGACGCCGATAACGCTCGGGGTCAGAAAAGAGAGGACCGTCTGCTAAGGGAAGCTGGTGATTCTGTTCCATGGGAAATCCGCCGATTTACCGCCAAGTAGACCGGTTTCGGTCACAATGTCAAGAGTGTACTTCCGCTGGCACAAGAAAATGCCCGAAGAATTCCTAGCAACCTCAATACCTAGAAAATATTGCAACAAACCCAAATCCTTCATATGAAAACAGCGATCCAAATAATCCTTAAAGGCAGTAATGGCGACTGGATCGCTTCCAGAAATTATCAGATCATCAACGTAAATCAGAACATGTAAACTCAATGAGTCACGGTGAAAAACAAACAGTGAGTAATCAGAATATGACTGTTGAAAATCGTAGTGCCGTAGAGCAGAAGCAAGCTTCGCAAACCAACACCGAGGAGCTTGCTTTAAACCATACAGAGAACGGCATAACCGACACACCTTACCAGAATCATGCGAATGAAAACCAGGAGGAAGCTTCATATAGACCTCCTCAGACAGATCCCCATGTAAGAATGCATTGTGCACGTCCATCTGATGAACCTCCCAATGTCGGGCAGCTGCAACAGCAAGAAAAGTTCGTATAGTAACCATCTTGGCGACAAGTGCAAATGTCTCTTGATAGTCAATGCCCTCCACTTGCCGGTTACCCAAGACAACCAAACGTGCTTTGTAGCTCTCAACAGAACCATCAGAGTTATATTTAATATTATAAATCCACTTGCAACCAATAGCGTGTTTTCCAGTAGGAAGAGAAACAATATCCCACGTACGGTTCGATTCCAATGCTCGAATCTCTAGTTGCATAGCCGAACGCCAGCGACTATCTCGAACAGCCTCATAAAAGGTGTGAGGCTCAACATCAGAAGTAATGGCTGCGAGAGGGTAAGGAGTACCAGACGATGACGCGATGGAGGAGACATAGTGGGGGGACGAGGAACAAATAGTGTGAGAAACAAAGTCATCAAGACGGGAAGAGGGTCTCTTGAGACGATGACCACGACCCAGCACTTCCTCGTCGGGAGGATTACCCCCCTAACGACAATGACCTCAGAACCCCCAGTGGCAGCAGTACGTGTTGTAGTGAGAAGCACCACATCATCATCGTCGTCAGGAATACCAGACCATGGAACCATAGGTACGGAGGCAGTATCAAGAGCAGGAGACGTAAAATAAGGGAACTCTGATTCACAGAATTTCACATCACGTGAGACTAGAAAAGTGCGGTTGTCCAAATCATAAACACACCATCCCTTTGACTAGAGGGATAGCCAATAAAAACACATCGACGACTCCGACTTGCAAACTTGTCACCTTCCTGTTCTGATTGTGAACGTAACACAGACAGCCAAAAACATGTAAGTGCGCATAGTTAGGAGGTTCTCCATACAAAAGTTCATAGGGAGTCTTGCCGGACAAAAGAGGAGTAGGCGTTCGATTAATCAAATAGCCAGCAGCAAGTACACAATGTCCCCAGAACTCAATAGGTAAATGGGCTTGAAAGCGTAATGCTCGAGCAACATTAAGAATGTGCTGATGCCTGCGCTCAACACGCCTATTTTGTTGCGGAGTTCCGACACAAGAAGTTTCATGAACAATCCCCTGTTGACGGAAATAATCACGCATACAAGTAAATTCAGTCCCATTGTCACTGCGAACAGTTTTAACCAACACACTGAATTGCCTTTTGACAAAAGCAAAAAAATGCAGTAAAGTGGAAGACACCGAAGATTTGTCATCCAATAAGAAAATCCAAGTACCGCGAGAATAGGCGTCAACAATAGTTAAAAAATATCGAGCACCACTAAAGGCAGGAACTCTATATGGTCCCCATACATCACAATGAATCAGACTGAAGATGGAACTGCTGACACTTTGACTAAGAGGAAAGCTAGCACGAGATTGCTTCGCCCGACAGCAAACATCACAAGTTTTATTCGAGACCAAGGAGCGAGACTCAACAAAAGGCAATTGACCAAGGACAGTAGAAGAGGGATGAACCATTCGCTGTTGCCACAAGGGCTGCATAACCGAGGACACCCGAGAAGCATTGGCAGCGATTGCCCCTCGAAAAAAATATAGTCCCCCCAACTGCTCTCCCGCTCCAATCACCGTCCTTGAAGTGAGGTCCTGAATAGCACAATATGTACTACTGAAGGTAGCAACACAACCAGATTGTTCCAACAAACGAGACAATGATATCAAGCTGCACTGAAGACTGTCAACGAACAAAACATCATATAAAATAATACGAGAACCGAGATGAACAGTGTCAGCTTTACACGCAGTTGTGAGCATACCATTAGGTAACTGCACAGACCGGGGAGGAATATCCCGAATATCGGAAAAAAAAAAAATCCAAATAGCCCGTCATATGATGTGAGGCACCACTATCATACATCCACTCATAAGGACTATGCTTACCAGACAAAGGAGCATTGTTGCGGGCGGAAGAGACGAGGTGTACAATAGACTCCCATTGGGCATCAGTAAACCCAGAAATAGCCGCCCGATCGGAGTCCGTCAATGAGGATGTTGGCCCGCCATGTATGGAGCCAAATGTACTAAGTGCAGCCCCGTTAGCGAAGGCGGCGTTGACAAGGGCTAGACCACCGCGACCGGCAACAGCTGGTCCGTCAACCGAGGAAGAAGAAGAAGCCATGATGTCTCAATTGGTCGAGACTTAATAGAAGTAAATTTTAGATTTTTTTAAAAGAAGGGGAATGAAAAATTGGGAGAGAGCAAGAAAAAGAGAGAAAAAAAGGAATGAGTCTCAGTTGATCGAGACTTGAGATCCGAGAGAAAAAAAAAATAACCGATTTCTGATACCATGACAAATACGTGAACCCCAATTCGTTTCCCAAAAACCCTTGCTTTTGATATTCGCAAGAGCCGAATATATAAAGATACAAAGGAAGCCCTAAAACCAATATACACCAAATCTCTAACATATCAAAAATCTATCTATACCAAAAATACAATATTCACAAAATCACTCTAACAATATTATTAAAATCTAAAATTAAGAAATAAAGAGTAAAGAACAAATTAAAACAAAAATGGTTTACCACAAAGAAGCCCCATTCTTGACAGGCATGTGCAAGGTCCTTGAGGGCTTTGGACCGTAGATCGGAGTCTAGAGAGGTGAGGTGAGAGAAATCGACGGTGGGGATGGAGTTGGAGTAAGAGCCTTTAGAGTCGTTCTCGAAAATGAATTGTGAAGGGACTGATTTAAGAGCACCGGATTCTGCAACAACTTTCACCAATGAATCAGTTGCGGAACTTGGTGTTGATGATTCGTGTTCAAGGACTTGAGAAGCCATTTTACCTATCTATCTATCTATCTATTTATATATTATTATTATTATTATTATTATTATTATTATTATTATTATTATTATTATTATTATTATTATTATTTTCTCATCAATTATGTGTGTTTTGGGACATAGAGCTTATAATAATTGTGAGTGTATTTAATCAGAGATGGTGGCCAACCAATTATTTAATTAGGTGGTTGGTTTGTACAACCAATGCAGCCAGGTGGAGAAATAAACAATGCAAATTGCAGCTGGAACCGCATGAAGAATCTGAAGAATCAATTTCTCTCGTGAATTATTAAACCAAGTTGGACTAAATTATTGCTAAAGACGCGTGAAGATATATGCACAATTGCTCAAAATCCACTATAAATAGCGGGGCTCAGCAGAAGGAGAAATGCACAGAAGGAAAGAAAGAGAAAAGGAAAGAAAGAAAGAGAGAAAGGAAAATTAGAGGTATAAAAATAATTTTGGAGGGATAAAAATATCAGAGGGAAAAATATAGAAATATTTATTTGTTATCGAAATAACAAAAGAGTGATATTTTTTTTCCTATTTTAAGTGCTCAATTATCGACTCCGTTCCAGTTCGCCGGAGCTCTTAAATCTGGTGTGCTACAGATTTCGAGACGTTTGCCGTTGTATCTTTGGGGAAGTTACGCCTAAACCGTTAGCTGCCACACGGGGCGTATTCTTCTTGCGGAAAGAGTTTTACTCGCCTCGGCTAAAATCTTTCCGTTTTGTTTTATTTTTAAATTTTAATTTATTTTTCAGTGTAATTTATTTTTCAGTTCGATTGTAATTTTCTATTTTTTAGATTATTTGTAAGAACTGAAAAATACATATCAGTTCGTAGGATTCCCGTGTATTTGATACCCAGATAATAACAGAGCTAAACAGATCAATGTATATATAAGTGTAACAATGAGTAGTTCTTTTCCTTTTTTTCTTTTTTTTTTTAAGTTCGTGGAAATCGTGGAAATAGCCCTCTATTTATAGAGTTGAGAGTTAATAAAGGATTTGTTAGAAAATAAGTGTACTACTACTGTTTTTTTTGGTTCGTGGAAATAGCCCTCTATTTATAGAGTTGAGAGTTAATAAAGGATTTGTTAGAAAATAAGTGTACTACTACTGTCATAAAGTAAGAGGAACATACAGTAATGAACTAGACCACTTACGTACCCAACTGGTTGAATTTTGTGACATGGGTGTAGTATTGGTCAAATTCTGACAATGTGTGTAGCATTTCTAAAACTCTCACCGACCAAATGCGTATATATAAATAGACATGACCATTGTCGGCCCGGAACAGACCCGTATGCACGGGTCACTGAACCGGACCCCTGCTACATGTCCGAAGTCGTTCTCGTAAAAATACTATACTAACACGCACGTGCTTGAGGAATAGTTAAGAGAATTCGGCACGCGTGCGGCCGGAGCGATGTCTCGCTCACTGAGCGCGTCATAGCCGACGAGCGCCGAACACTAAAACAGCCCGCAGAAGATGCATTGAATGATCGATATGACCACCAACCACTGGAATGTCGGGGACACGCGTCAGACGACGAAGGCTCAGATTACATTGAGATTTGAACCCAATCATTAGTCATTAAATGCGGATGTCCTTTCTGAAAATAGAAAACATCTTGTACTACACACATGCATAGTAACTTGTAGTACAACCAATATAAATAAGCGAGAGGTCCCATTCAAAAGGATCTTTCGGCTGATCCCAAAAGCAGTACAAAAAAAATCGGCCGAACTAACAGCTTAATTCGGCAATCCAAATTAGCAATAAAAACATATTATTTTCCTACACACTGGTTGTTACGAAAACTGATAACAACACTACAAATGTGCCGATTTCGGGTATTAATTTTTTTTAACCCGTTGGTTCGGGGTCAGAAGACAGGCCAAGCGTTCATTTTTTTATTTTTTATTTCTGAACCGGTCGTTCCCGAACCGTCGGGTCGGTGAAACAGCCCAGAACTGCCGGGCCTGTGAACCGACCCATAATTGTCGGGCCTATGAACTGGCCCATACCTACATCTGGGTGGGTTCCTAGTACCTGTTTTTAGGCTCGACGACCTGTCGGGCCGGGCTGGGTCACCAAATGGCCATATGGGGTTGCAGAGTTAGAAAAGGAGAATGAAGATACAAGTGAAATGAAAATAGAGAAGAAAATCTCCGTTGAGGAAAAAAAAGAGAATTTTGTTAGTCATATAGAAAATTACTTCTATTTTTATGTGCTTAGACTCCGTTCTAGTTCGTTGGAGCTCGTAAGTCTGTTGCGCTATAGATTTTGAGACGATCGTCATTGTATCTTTGAGAACAGTACGCCTGAACTGTCAACACTACACGGGACGTATTCGTCTTGCGGAAAGTGTTTACTTGCCTATGTTTTTAATCTTTTCGATTTCAAGTTGTAATTTACTTTCAGTTCTATATATTTTTTGAATTTTTTAGTTCAAATTGTAAGAACTAAAAAATACATTTTAATTTGTAGAATTCACTGTATTTCAACTCCCAAATTTGTAATAAGATTAATGTGTGGTAAGCAAATTTATATTTTATTAATTAGCCTGTAAATTTATTTTATTCAAATAAATTCGATTAGGTGGTTTATTTCAACACCCATGATTCCCGTGTATTTCAATTTTTTACGTAATGTATTTTTTTTTAAATAAAAATTTTATTGAGATAAATTTTATAAAGTAGTTTATTAGATACTAGTACGTAGCCCGTGCGATGCACAGGACAATAATTATCTATTGCATGTAGTAAAAATTAAAAAAAAAAATATTGATTAGTATAAAAACATTTAATTATTTTCTTTTAGTTTATGATATATAAATTTAATATATAATTTATCTGTTTATTTTACTCGTTAATAGTTGTTATTTTAGAGTTCATGTTTATAATAACTAAGGATAATGAAAATTTAATAATTCAAGCATTTTTAATACTCACAAAATACTTCTTTCTCTATTCCCTATAAGGGCTTGTTCTTTGGACTTTTTTGATCTTAAGTGAAGATAGATGATTCAACAGGGCAAAGCTCTAAACCATAAAGCAATGAAATGATCCATTTTGATTTCTAAATAAGTTATGCTAAAATTGAAAAATTGTGTAAATATTATAACCAACAATTCATTGAAAAGGACTGTAATATATATTATTTTGGAGTTAAAAAATTTATTAATTTTTAATTACATCAATACTATTTAATATTTTCTTATAATTTATAATAATATATATTTTTTCTAATCTAATAATTATATGATATTTGTTATGATATTGTGAATCTGAATATGAATTTTTAAAAAACTGGTTTGGTGTAGTTATTGATAAACTCAAAGGATATTCTTGAACTCATTGAATATATGATTTTTTGTTATGGCTCGTTACCAATGAATAGAAAATTGAAGGGATTTGTAATTGTGTGCCATTAAGATTATTTGAGTAAAGTTATTCAATTGTAGCTTCAATGGTTTATTATGTAATAATAATAATCATTTCGTATTTGTATGAAAAAAGTTACTAACATGTGACATAAATGTAAAATACAAAATACTTGTGGATTAAAGGATACATTGAAATTTATGGATGTTTCTTCTTAATATTTTTGCAAGAAGAAGAAATTCATTTATAAATATTTTGCTAACCTTCTACATCTTGCTCATGCGTTCGTAGGGAGAAAAAAAGATATTTTCTGAAAAACTCTATTTTATGCTATTGCGTAAACATTGATCTCGGTTTAAAAATATTAGTTTGTGAATATCGCCATACCACCGATCTATTTATAATGATATTTTTAATAATATTGAAATAAATTTTATTTTTTTGTAAATTGATTTACAAAAACATAAACTTTTAATTAATAATAATTTACTAAAATAATTATCATAGAACCACATTCCCCTGTCCACAGTTTAACACTAGTAAATAAGATTAGAAGAAACACTCATAATCTTGCCTAATACAGAAACAAAAAGTCAACGGATTGTTTGTTTTACTTTAATGGATTGGTAGAAATATTGAATTTTTGCTATATGTATTTCTTTTTCCTCTATTTAAATAATCGCTGGATTTTATTATATTATATAGAAACATATATGAAAATGCATAAAGTAATGTTTTCCTTATATAAATGGAGAACTTTCAAGCTTCAATCTAGTGCCCCTACTATTGAAGAAAATGATTTTCAGTCTGGCAATATGTGACAATTCTCTATGTCACTACTTTAAGTGATAATATTTCTACATCGATATGGCAATTGGTCGAATAATAATCGAAACAAAACGTTCAGCATACGGATACTTTCAGTAGTATATAATTTATACATCTTTTTAACAAATTTATGTGAACAAAATGATAGTTATGATAAACTTTATTCATGATACATAATATTATATTTGATTTAAACAACCAATCTTAATATTATTTCCTCACACACAACATTCGCGCATAGCACAGAATATGCAATAGTCATTATATAATGTAATCATATGAATTCGGTGTAGAATCCACAAAAACAGTAAACCTAATTATTTTTTGCAACATGAGATGCAAAAACCACGAACAGCAATAAGAGATGCGAAAACCACGAATAACAATAAACCCACTTTTTTTCTCACACAACGTCGATTTTCAGGCAGTCCAAGTTGCCTTTCCCTTCAAGTCGATTGCTTAGCATGGTTTCAACGTAGTCGATAAACTTCATCGGGCGATATAAAGCCCGGCCATCACGCTCGACAAGTGGGCCCGCAGGGCCCACAATAGCTTCAGGGGCTGCCCCATTCGCAATGACTACCGATATCCTCATCGCTTGATTGTTCACCACGGCCCTGTGCTTCACACTCTTGTACCTCCCATTGCTAAAAATCTAAAAAAAAAGGAAGGACAATTAGATTAAAAACCAAGAACAACTTCTTCTTTTTTATGAAAATAATGTTTTTTTTATTTATTATTTTTTACTTCAAGATGATCGGCCGTGTTGACCAAGATGGAGCCGTGAGGCGAGTTTGTGTTGAACCACTCCCCATTGTGCTGAATCTGAAGGCCCGTAACTCCGTTGTGTATGAGGAAAGTCAAAAGCCCGTGATCCGTGTGTGGCGGGAGCCCGATGGCCTGATCGGGCTCGGGGCACGGCGGGTAATAATTTGCCGCGTAAAGTTGAAAACACGAGTCCAATTGCAAAGTCCGGTCTATGTAGCCCTGTTCCAGTTCCAGGTTTGCCCCTATCCCCTGAAGCAGCTTTCTTGCCACGTGGCGGGTTTTTTCGGAATACTCTAACAAAATCTCCCTACAAATTAATGTAGCGGCAATTTGATCACATTCACATGCTTTTTAACGCAGACTTCTTTTGACCCAAGATTAAATTATTGAATAATTATCTTATAGTATTTGATTATTTTATTACCCAAGGATGTGAGGTTTTTGAGGAGAGTGAAAATTTGGGTGGACGTAGGATTTAAGGAAGTCCCGCCAGAGATGAATTCTTTGGTTTGACGTGGTGATGACGGAGCCGGTGCCGGACTTGATGGGGTCCGATGGGCCTTTGGCCTCATACACTCTCTTTTCGTGGTCTGGCAGCTCGAAAAACTCCAAACTCGCCTCTATTACGCCCTTCATAACTTTATCTGGTATCTCATGATTTATCAACTAAAACAAAAATAAAAAGTACAAAATGAACAATTTTTTTTAATAATTTTTTTTATTTCAATAAAGTATTATCTCTCCAATTAAATGAGATCGAGAATAAATAAATAAATAACAATTCAAGAAAATACTAAAAAAAATTATCAAAATCTTGGTTTTTATTACTATAAAGATAAATAGAGCAAAATAAAAGTAGATCTAAAATAGCAATTTAGCCAACCGAAGGAAAGAGAGGGATGAGGAAAAAATGTTACTTCGTCTATGTATTGTTAAAAACTAAAAATGAGAAATAAAGAGTAAAGAACAAATTAAAAGGAAATTTGTTTACCACAAAGAATCCCCATTCTTGACATGCATGTGCGAGGTCCTTGAGGGCTTTGGACCGTAGATCGGAGTTTGAAGAGGTGAGGTGGGAGAAATCGACGGTGGGGATGGAGTTGGAGTAAGAGCCTTTGGAGTCATTCCCGAAAATGAATTGTGAAGGGACTGATTTAAGAGCACCGGATTCTGCGACAACTTTCACGAATGAATTAGTTGCGGAATTCGGTGCTGATGATTCGTGTTCGCGGACTTTAGAAGCCATTTTCTCTATTATTATTGAAATTATTATTATTGATATTAATATTATTTTTTTTTATTATTATTATTTTCTCTTCAATTATGTGTGTTTAGGAGGAAAACAGATGAATGTATATATATAAGTGTAACAAACTAACAATGAGTTGTTTTGGCCCTCAATTTATAGAGTTGAGAGGTAGATATATACGGTTTTGGAAAAAAATTCAAAATTAGTCCCACAGGTATAGGGGGTGACAATTTTGGTCCCAACGGAATCTAGAAAATATGAATAGTCCCACAGCTTTTAAAAAATGATCAAAAGTAAGACTTTATAGTCAGATTTACTATTTCCGGCCCAGAACACCACGTGGCGCATACTTGCCTTATTTTTTTTTACACGCTGGCATCCGACGTAGATAGGGAAAAATTCAAAACTAGTCCCATAAGTATAGGGGGTGACATTTTTGGTCCCGATGGAATGCAGAAAATTTAAAACTAGTCCCACAACTTGTAAAAAAATATGAACACGTCGGATGTCAGCGTGTAAAAAAATAAGCCACGTGTGCGCCACGTGGCGTTTCGGGCCAGAAATAGTAAATCCGGCGAAAAAGTCCTACTTTTGATCATTTTTTAAAAGTTGTGGGACTATGCATATTTTCTGCATTCCGTCGGGACCAAAATTGTCACCCCCTATACCTGTGGGACTAGTTTTGAAATTTTCCCTACGGTTTTGCTATGAAGCCAACAGTTGGCTCTATTGTGGAGCTAACCTTCTATATACAACAAATAAACCTACCATATTAATAAAATTATATTAGTGTTATTTAAGTAATAAGAGAATATGATAGGTTTATTTGTTGTATATAAAAGGTTGACTCCATTATGGAGCCAACTGTTGGCTTCATAGCAAAACCGTATTCATATAAGTGTAACAATTGAATTTTATTAGTCTTCTATTTATAGAGTTGAGAGGTAGATATAAGTGAAACAATGAGTTTTATTGGCCTTCTATTTAAAGACCTTTCACATTATAAGTATTGTTTTTTTGGCCTTTCATTTTTTAGATTGCATTTAGTATTTATCTTTTTTATTATAGAATTCTCATTAAAAAAAATTGTTACATGATTAGTGAATTTTGTGTTTATCTCTTTTATTCTCTTAGTCTCATTTTACAATCTCATTTTACGGCCAATTTGATTGCATTCTTTGGAATAATTATAAAATATAAAATTTAAAATGAATTTGTTACGTTTAAAAAGAGATTATTGTATATATTGTATAACAATATTAAAAAAAAAAATTGTTACATTGAAATAAGAGATTTATTTATGAATAGAAACACTTGTAAATCAGATTTTCATAAAGATTAAATTTCATATTTATCTTTTTATTATAGCGTCCTCATTTGTAGTCCAAAACATTTAATATGAACAATCATGTGAGAATCAAATTTTATTACAAAAAAAA